GTCGTGGTTCAAAGTACAAGTATTTGTGAGCACTTAGTATAATATTTGGGGTGTAGTGAGCTTGGGAGTTGTTCATTTCATCTCTCCATTTCTCCTTTCTTATCCTTTCTTCCTTTTGACCAAACTGTCTGTGTTAGAGTATGCTGTGGTAGTCTTGGAGTTAAGAAAGCTTTGTTCAGGGGCTTTGAACATATTTTTTTTATGCTGCCATTTGTCTTATAATGTGAATGACTCTGTGTTTTTAAAAAGGTTTGCAAGCAAACAGGCAGCCCACATAATTTTTATCATTCATCAAGGATGTTGCCATGAAAACAAATATTCCAAATGATGAGTTATTATCTTTTCAAGCAAAGAGACATAGTCTGAGCACTTACAGCTAATGAAGCTCTCAGGGTCCTAGTTTGTACCTAGCGGTCTGCAATGTTTGTGAACCAGCAGAAAAGCAGCTCTTGTCAGCAAACCCAGTGACAGCCAGCAGTCTCTATTCAGGAGCTTTCTGAGCTGGGGGCTGTGCTCAGTACTGTGTCCTCACATGTATATATTTTTTTAATTCTCCCTAATAACATATCCCAGGTTCTTGGCCCTTATTGTCAAGGAAAGAATGAGATATTGCTGTTGCCTTGGCAGGCTTTTCTGTTTCATCCCTGGTATCTCTGACAGTTGCGGGAAATCTCTACAAAAAGCCAGGCGTTACAATTGGTAATGCTTCACACATCCTGGACTCCTTTGCAGATGGGGTGATAATTTGCTTCTCACATCTAGTCTCAGGAAGGCAAACCTTTACATTGCCAGTTCATTTATCTGGACTTCCACGTCTATGTTTATTATACAACATCTGAATTTGTAACAATTTCTTGCAAAACTGCAGTTCACAAAATACTATATTTTCACAAGCTACCATTTCACTGTCAGACAAGACATTCCATGGATTTAGCTTATGCAAAAGTTCTGTGGCTTTTGCCACTGAAAACATGTCTCCTAAATTCACCCACTTCTCTCCTTTTCTCTGCCACAGATCACTGTTCTTACTGCTTGTTTCAATAGTGGGATATGTTTTGAGTACTTAGGATGTGCCAGATGCTATTTTGGGTGTTTCATACATAGGGTCACATTTTATCTTAACCACGTCTTTGGAGATAAGAATTATTTGCTGATACACTTGGATATAGAAACTGAGTCACCAAGAAGGTAATCATTTTGCTCACATCTTCCAAGTGGCAGAGCCAGGAATACAAATCAAGCCATCTGACTCTAGATAAAGATCATGCTTTGGACCCCTGCCCACTCTCATCACCCCAGCCATTGATGGAAGCGTTTACTGATTGGTTTCCCAGTAATCAGTCTTGACCTTCCAGGAATCTTCACCCTGTAGCTTGTTCAAAGCTCATTGTGATCACATCATCCTCTTGCTTGAAACTCAACACAGCTCTTCTCTGCTTTAACTGTAATGTCCAGATACCGTGTCATGACCCAGCAGGCTCTGCATGGGATGGCCTTGTTGTCCTCCAACTTCTATCCATGGTTAGAGTTACTGTCTTTAGGTCCACTAGCTCTCTGTTCTTGCAGTAGATTATATAACGGCCTGCCCTACCACAAGCATCCTTGCAAAAGCAGCCTTCTCCCTGAATTCCTTGGACTGCTCTCCTTGTATTCTGATGTTTGGGTCACACTGGCTCTCTCCTGGTCTTGGGCATCAATGACTCCTTCCCTTATTTTCTTCGCACCTCTCTAGTTTTTGCTTTCCATTTCCATGGTGAGGTTTTTATACCTTCCTCTTGTATCTCAGGGAGGTATCTACCACCAGTTCCTGGTCTACTTCCACCACTTCTACAATGCCTGACCTGCCCATTCTCAACTCTTCCTTCCCTAAGACAACCTGCCATTTAAAGCAAAGTCCAACTCCAGACTGGACTTTTGGTTCTTATAGTTGTCTGACTTCTAGATATCTCTTCTGGAAATATGCTCAAGGGCTTCAAATTCAACTTGATCCTAACTGTGACACTTATCTTCTCTTGTAAGCTACAAACTGCCCCTCTACTTTTACAGTAAGTAGCTTTTCCTTCCACCCAGTCATCTGTATCCAGAAACTTGAGGTCATCCTTCATCTCTCCCTTTCATTTGGCAGGTCTATGAGTCCAGTCAAGTCAATTTTTAAAGTGCCAATGGAAAGTGCTTTGTCCTCTCCTCTCCTATTATCTTTCATCTGGATTTGAAAAATATCATCTCTCATCTCAAACATTGCAAGAACCATTCAAATGGTTCACTTTCTAGTTCATTCGCCAAACTGCCTGTAGCAGGAGGAATCACATCAAGGGCTCAATTTAGTGTGATCAATATCTCTGAGAGGCAGAAGCACCCCACTAAGCTAGAAGTGACATTGACAGACTATTAGATGGTGATAGAAATTCCTCTGCTTTAGTCCTGGTGACTGCACAGAGCCTTGCAATTTCTATGCTGAGAATGACAACAACAGTAGAAGAAGCAGCAGGGACAGTGTCTGCTACCACCACCTCTCCCAGTAACTTCAGCATTTATGGTGCTCGGACTACAAATTAGGTCTACCTTGAACTTTACATATATTTTATTTAGTTTATACATTCATCTGAAAGTGACCTTTCATATGGTAGTGCTTTTTTTTTCTTTTAAATTCTTGTCATCTTAGCAAGACCCCATACTCTTTGAGGAACACAGTCTTTATTGGTGGGCACAGTATTCATGGGGACTGTAAAGCAGGTGCCCGCCCCTGGCAGGGGGTGGTTACTTAACTCAGGTAAGGTGAGTGGAAAATCCACTGAGACTTTAAATCTTAAAGAGTAACATGCCAATGGACCAACAGACTTATTTACTTCCGTGGAGGCACCTGAATGAGATAGTTGAATAATCCTTTCAACCAAACCATAAACACCATGCTGACTTCTTTCCAGAGCATGTTGGGTTTTGAAGTTTGGCTCACCAGCCTTTATTTTTATTTATTTATGCATACAAGAACTGAGGTATACACCAGAGGTGCAGGGGGTAAGAATATTCACCAGAGACAGAGTGGGCAGCAAAACAGGTGGATCTACTGAAACACACTGCTGAGGGGAACAGCAGGTGAGACAGGAGAGGTCTGCTGCACCATGTGGGTAGCTCCCTGGCTGGGGATCGAACTCATGCTGCAGTGGCTGGTGATTGCTTCATAGCGCTGATACTTTAACCCCTGCACCACCAAGGAGGCCCATGGCTCATCAGCCTTTAATTTTTTGTGAGCTGCCTAAATATCTTGCCAGTGAATTATACTTCATTTATCTTCTTTCTCCTCCTCCTTTTTCTTTCTCTCCTTTTTCTTCTCTTTTCCTCTTCCTTTAGTGACTTGAATTAGCCAAGTGGATTTTGATTGCTTGCAACCTTAGAACTCTAGCTGACAGAAAATATTACCTCTTGAAGACCCTTTGCTTTAAAGATAGGAAAACTGAGATCTATTTGTATCTTGTCTCAGGTCAGACAGAAGCCAATGGGGAGAATCTAAGTAAAAGTATATTTCATCTCTCCTGGTCTAGTATTCTTTATAGCACAATGGTTCCAGGGTGATCGCTGGGCCCAGAATTCCTTGTTTTGACTATTTGATTCCAACACATACTTTTCTGTGTAATTTGGGAAAAGTCAATCTCCTTTGGCCTCAGTTTTCTCACTCACAAAATGGGGTTAGTAACACCTACCCTCTAGGGTTACTGTGTAGATTATATTACTTAATACTGCACATATAAAATATCAATGTAGAGCACCGGGTACATCGCAGGAGAGATGTAAATGTTAGTAACGCCTGTTGTCACTTAGGAATATTGTTGTCGTTCTTTAAATACTTTGTTTTCCAACAATGGTAAAGAATATTTTAATAACACTACCAGGTTTTTCCTACTTAAGGAATCTAATTCAACATCCAAAGTGCCCCTTCAGCAGTTCCCCAGGAAGGGTGCTTGTGGCTTAGTAGCTGATAGTTTATTCTCTCTCTTTCATTCTGAAAAAAATATCATTAAAAGACTTTTGTTTTCTTCTAGCCAATAAAATGGACATCAAAGTACAGAGTGTTTGACAGGAGGACCAGTTGGTTCCACTCAGGGGCACATTATGAATTGTTGGTTTTTGACAGGGGGGACAATTCATTACATTTTGTTTATGTAGCACCTCTTGAGGGTCCATTTCTAAGTGGTTCACAAAAGGCTTGTTCTCAGTGGAACACAGTTGTCCTTCGGGGTTCCCAGGGCCTGAAGATTGTGTGTGCAAATAAAATAAACTCACCCTGAAGGCCAGTAATTTAGATTAATAAAGAGCTATGTTTATACAACTCCATTAACAAAATTCTCCATGGCAAGTTGAACCCAATTTTCTCAGGCTGCACAGCCATTTCTAAACAAGACTTGATGAAGAATGGTAGTTTGCTGGTATACAAAATAAGGAGAAAGCCTTTTCATGGTCCTCAGACCCCTGAGATTATTGCTGCAACCCCTGTTTCTCAGGAGACCACTCAGAAATTGAAGCGGCTCCAATGTGATTCTATATCTCTGGGAATTAACTCAGACCCCCCAACTGTCCATTCATCCTGTCTTCCTTCCTTCATCTGTGTGTTCATGTGCTTATTTAAAAGAGTGTATTTTAGGTACATGTTACTATTTGTTTCTCAGCTCTTGCCTTTATCTAGATCCTTCAATAGGAGAAAAGGGTAGGCATATTGGGGTGAGATATACCCATATTATATAACCCCATTTATATAATGGATTCTCATGACCACCATGTGAGCTGGGAAGGACTTTGCTCCATCCTCCTCATCTTCTAGAAGAATAGACACCCAGAGCAGTTCTAAGCCATACCAAAGGGAAAGGAAGCCTCACCTCCTGGGTACCTGTGATATACCAGGCCTGATGTGAGAGGTTTGCATGGTCATCATCACTGTCTAGACACCAAGGTGAAATTTGTGTATGTGTGTGTCTATTTGCTAGATGAGAAATGGAGGCAAGAAGGTTCCAGAATTGTTGATGTCACAGGGGAGGGTGGGGCTGAAAGTCTCAGGTCTTCCTCTGGCCTCATGCTGCCTCCCCAGAGATCATCTAAGGTCAGTGCCCTCACCCCTGCCAACTCCAGGCCCTTTGTGATATCTTGGCTTCTCCTTCTGCTCTTCCAAAGTTTCAGTAAGGGTCAGAGAGGAAAACCACAGCATCAATGCAAATAGCTGAGGAAGAGCCGGGCGGGGAGAAGGGCCAGTGGGATGTATGGACGAATGGAGATAATGTTTTCTACCAGGGTTGGGGGGTGCAGGGAACATGGGGCTTCCCTGGGCCGTCTTTCTACTGGCATTTCCTGACCAGTGGTTGATCGCCTGTTCCTTCATTTACCCCTGACTCACCAGCGATGGAGTTTTGTGTTCTGAGAGATATTTCTAATTCTTCCTAGAAAATGCATTCTCTTTAGGCTCCTGTGCTATGTCTTTCCTCTCTGGATTCTCACCTCCCTTGACTTCCACTCCTGATTCTAGACAGGTGATCTCAGATCCATACCACCAGCCTAGGTCTGCATCTTGGCCTCCAGCCCTCCATCCATGTAGGTGTGCGATGGCCCAACCCACCCAGGTCCCCCACAGGCACCCTACTCTTGCCTCCTTGATTCCAAATAACAGCAACACTACATCTAGCATCTTCTATTCAAAATGGATCAAGGTAGTAACCAATTCATTTATTCCAAGGCTTTTCATTTTTATTTACTGAATGTCAGGCAATGTGTTAAGTAAGTGTTAACACAGAAAACAAAATCCAAATATGTGTAAAACTTCCAGGCTGTGATCAGTGTGTGTATGCGTGTGTGTGTGTGTGGCTTATACAATTCTCTTTGCAGTGTGCCTATTCTTCCACTCTAACTGCCTTCTTCTGCCTACTGCTTGGTGTATTTCCACACATTTGTCACCCCCTTTACAGTCTGATTCTTACCATTGTATTCATATGTGCCTCTCTGATGTCAGCAAGTTGGGATAGGATGGGGTGTATGCTCAATAAGTGTTGCTTCAGTAAATGAACATTTAGAAGGCAAAGTATAGATGAGTAGAAAACCCAGCCCTGTCCCCTTAGCAATATAACGTGCAGAATTGCTTTAATCTTTGGTGTATGGTAAACATGCTGTGTATTTGAAACAATTCCTTGGAAAAGAGGAAGAACTCTTGACTATCTTAAAGGTTTATCCTTAAACCCTAGGCCCTGTCTGAGCACTTTTACTTAAGCTAATTTAATCTTCCCATAAACTAAGATTCTGAAGCTTGGGGAGGTTATGGTACTTACTGACGATCTCGCCAGCAGCACTGGAGTTTCAACTACGGCCTGTCTAAGTCAGTGCCTTCCCTAAAATATTTCCAGGTCTTTCAAAGCTGACGTATGCATAGGGCTAGAAATTCAAACATCAATGTCATTCAGTGTCCTTTCCTCTCAGGTCCTCCAAAACCCTTGAATTGTCATGGCTCAGGGAATCTTGAATCTGTGAGATATGAGCTTATTATCTCTGCTTCTAGATTTTTATGAGTTTCGGAAATGCATTTTCCAAGGAAGGAGGGAGTTTCCAGATCTTTCTCCCAACTGTGCGTGGGTCGGGATGGCACTGTCAGTGAGTGTCGCTGGCATGTCAGCCCTCCCCACATGCTCCTATCTGTCCGTGGTCCCCATCAATAAAGTCCTTTAAGCAGATCTGTACATTTGGGGGCCGGCTGGCGAGGCACGTGCCATGAAGCACCCCTTCCCCAATAATCAAACTCTTGTAAGCTGTGTTGAATGCGATTCTTTCTCCCAGGAGAAGTATATGTTTGTTTGTTGGCATGTCCTAATGACTTAAAGAAAAATGCCGGAAATCAGCGGCACACTCTTCCCTGAAAGGAACATTGGCCCTTTGTTCAAGAAATGCATTTGCAGAACGGCTTCTGAGTAAGTCCTTGGAATTCCTCATGGTTTATATGTCTTTGTAAGCTCCTGGCATTGAAGAGCCGAGGTTTTTCTTTTGCTTTTTTTTCTTTCCAATGAATCCAACATTGTATTGAGCACACTCTCACTCAATTTTGATAAAACCAGCAACTCACCATGTCAACGAGAGTGGAAAGAGTAGGGACATGAGTAAAATTCATGATCTTGGTAGGCTGTTTAGTGTTAAAAGCTTAGAAATGTGTGCATTGAGGCCAGAGTCTGAGTTTTCTTAAATTCTCTTTGTTTAGGAATAACATCACATTTGTTTTAGTGACTTCGATGATGTCTTAAAATACTTTCCACGGCACCTATGCACAGTCTGCCTTTTGATTTTCCAAACGAAGTGGCTGCCTTTGAGAGAGGCAAGGTGGTGTAGGGAGCTTAGGGCTTAGGGAGCAGGATACAAACCCGGCTTCCTTGACTTCTCTTGTGATATTGGGGCAGGACTTTATCTCTCTGAAACTCACTTTGCCTGTGTGCAAAATGAGAGTAATAGGACCGTTGATCCTATGGGGCTGCAATGAGGGTTAAATATAATAAAGTGAGTTGCCTAACACAATCACATGGAAAATACTTAACACACATCCACTTCCCACCTTCCTCACCTGTTTTGAAAGATAAGCACCCTGAATGGCAAAGATGTTAACAGTAAAGGTGCATCATTTGCTAGGGAGCTGCATAAAGACTCTCACCACATAACCTGCGTGACTGAAGCAGCAGACACTGATGTCTTCATGGGTCTGGAGGTAGAAGAGCAAGACCAGGGCTTCAGCAGGGTTGATTCCTCTGCCTGTGGCTTTCACAGGTGCCTTCTCTCCATGTCTTCACATGCTCCTCTCTCTGGGTGAGTCTGTGTCCTACTCTCCCCTTCTTATATGGACCCCAACATATTGGACTAGGCACCAGCCTAGTGGCCTCACTTTAACTTAATCACCCCATTAAAAACCTTATCTCCAAATACAGTTGGAGATCAAGGTACAGGGTATTAGGATTTCAACATAGGAACTTTGGGGGACAGAATTCAAACCATCCACCAGCGGTGCCAGTGGCAGCGTGAAACCATGGCTGATTCTGCATGGAAAAGAGCAATTCATTTCCTCTCATCCTTCCCTCTCCAAATCCTGAGTGAGGGCAATGTAGTGACACTTGGCTATTCGCATCCAGTTTTATTGGTCTTAAATCTCCTTATATGTCTCATTGCCCGCTAGATGGAAAGCTCCTTGAGGCTAGAATGCTTCTACCACGTTTGTGGCTCCTGCTTGAGTTGCATCTTGATGGGTGCACAAGAAGCCCTTAGAGCTTGTTCATTCCATCCACCAGGAGTCTGCAGCTCACGGCACTGCCACCTAGACACCAGGGAATGTCACGCTGTCTTTCAGCAAAAGTGGATTGAGTCTGAACGTAAGAGTGCTTGCTCTTGTAGAGCTCACAGTCTACTGGGAAAGACAGACCAATAAGCATTATTTCCGTTTAATAAACACAATATTGTTACAGCGCGGCAGAGCTAGAGAGTGAGAGGTCCAGGGGCACAGTTAGGGGGTGGCTGGAGTGGAGAGAGAGGCAGGTGGTCAGAGTGGCGTAGGATTCTAGTGTTTTTTTGCCCCTGAATGAATGGCCCACAGATAGGCATGGTGGCATCACCCGGGAGCGTGTTTTAAATGTAGCATCTCAGGCATGGCCTTGTAGACCAGAGGGATCAGAATCTGCTCCATTCCTGGACTTGCAATCTAGATATTTAAAACTAAAGTTCCCATAAGGAATATACATGAACACAATTAATAGGAGTGTAAGAAAAACCATATAACTCTGTCTTTATCTTATTTTCCCATACTTTTCCTAGAGCTATGGGATGGTAGAGACCATTGCAAAAAGCATACGCCTGCTTCCATGTACTGGCATTACTGGGAGAGCAGGAATTTATATTTCTCTGCCCATTTGAACATCTAGTGGAGTCACATGACCACTTCTTACCAATGAGGTTTGTGAGACAATGATATATGTTTTATCTGGGCTGGGGCTTGTATAAAACAGATTGGTGTTTTTTACATTCTCCCTTTCTCTGGCTGAAGGCTAACTATCAAAGCCCTAGGGAATAGCAGAACCAAGAGATGGAGGAAGTATGTCCCCAGATCACTATTTGGAGGAAGGTCACCCCATGGACTATTGCAAGACTATAAAATAAATGTTTATTGTACTAAGCCATGGACATTTGGGGCTTTGTTAGTTACAGCAACTAGTGTTACTTTAATTCATATGGACACTATATTTACTATAAAGACAACATTACAAATGGAACTGGTTTTTTGATGAACAATAGGGGGTTGTGGGGACTGTGGTAAACTGGAGTCTGCTTGAGCTATATGGGCAGGAAGTTTTTTATCAACCATACTTGATTGCTCCTTTATATAAATACAGGCTCAGTATTATCAGAAGTTGCAATTTTTAAATTCTGGCTCACTTTCATTTTAAATTATGTGCCAAATACAACTTCTATTCCATGGCATCAAATTGCTCTGTTGGCAGCCTGATTGCATACTCTGCACTAACTAGAAGATGTCAGCTAGGCCTCCTCTTGTCTCTTTGCTCCCACCACCGATTGTTTTGCAGGCGAGGAAGCTGCGAGGGCTCCTGGTAGAAGGCATTGTTTCTGGTAAGCACACATGAAGTGTTTGTTGTATGACTGACTGAAGTGAGGATGACTGGTCAAGTCACTGAGGTTATAGCAGGATCACCATTACCACCACTGTGATTTCCATTTCCACTGTATTTACATGGCTTTTGTTACAGCATAACTGGCACTGTAACTGACTGCTTTGTTTCTCTAGAGCTATTTTTTCCTTTCCTTTAATCCTTCCAACACCTTATGAAATATGATCCATTATCCCTGTTTAACCAGAGGAAAAAATAAGGCACGGCAAAGTGGCTTGCTGAAGGTCACCAGGCTGAGAGCTCCAGACTTAGTCTGAGTCTTGCTTCTTGAGCCAGGGGACTCCCTAGATCACATTACAGTGTCCCAGCAGGTGATGGACTGGAGATGTGGCTTCAGCTTGTTATAATGAAGGGGCCAGGGCTTGGCCACCTTGACCTGTCCAGCTGGTGAGAGACCATTTTTATTGAAATGGGGAGTTTTGATGTTGAGTGTGGGCAGGAAGGCTGCAAGGAGAGAGTAAAGCGAATCAGTTATTTCCTCTTTTCCTTGCATGGAGGGAGAAGAGGTAAGGTACCTAACACCTAGCTGGTGGGGAGTTATGTTCCTTCTCTGTGGCTTAGCAGATAATGTGCCTGCACTTCTCTGAACCACTGGTGTGTCAGGCTAGATTCCTATCCCATCTTTTGCTGTGTGGTCATGTGCACACCTCCTTACCTTATTTGAAGACTCAGTTTCTTCCATTGTGAAATATTCAGCATTGCAGCAGCATCACAAGGCTCAAGGTGGTGGCGAACGGTGAAGGCCGTGCCAGGCCCAGAGCAGGCACCATCATGTTACTCCAATGAGCCGGCAGTTCTGAAAGCATTTCGTAGACATATTTGAATGAGCTGCACCCACACGGGTGACAAGAATTCCTGGTGGGCTGGGTGGTTGGTGCAGGAATCTCTCCCTCAACGACCAGGCCTGGGCTGTGGATGCATTTCTGGAGTCCCAGAGGCCGGCTCTGCAAAGAGGAACAAACAACACCATCTATTCAGTCTCCCCGGGCCCTCCTGCCAGAGCCCGCGAGGGGCTTGGATTCAGAGAGCTATTGAAGGGAAGCCACAAAGACACGTTCTCTCCCCTGCGGCCTGGAGTGAAGACAGAGCCGCCTGGGCACAAGAGGAGGGTTGTTTCGCATCAGCCGGCAGCCGGCAAATTCTGTCAAAGCAGCTGAAGGAGAGAAGTCGTCAAAACACCCAGGAAAACAAGAGCTCAGGCGCAGGCAGGAGATAAAAGATAAGGAGCGTGGCCTGCAGGCACACAGGCCCCCTTCACGGAGCGCTGGCAGCCAGGCTCTCACCATTGTCCAGACCCGGGCCTGTGATGATGGAAGCTTTCTTGTTTTTCTTCTTAAAGAAAGAATTTGTGTCAGAGCAAAGAGAGTTTGTGTGTTATGAGCAGTGACTGCCAAATGAAAATCTTTGGTGTTAAAATAGTGAGGCACACATTCAAACTGGCCTCTGTTCCTGGTGGAGAAGACATGGGGGCTGGGCGGGGGGGAGGCTTCCATTTCAGATCTGGCTGCTTCTCTGCTTCGCTGCAACGCTTTTGTTCTGGCTGATGTTACAAAATGGAGGCCAACTGCTTCGGCGACCATCCTGACCCCAGGCAGACTCTGCGTGCGGCTGCTGAGGCTGTCCCTGCCTCGCTCTCTGCGAGTCCCCTCACCTGCCCCCTCTTTGTTCTCCCACAGCCATTTTCCCTTGTTTGCTTACATTGTCCAGTTTGCCCCTGCCCAGAGGGGAAGCCTTTCTCCCTTCTTCCACAGGCACCTCCCAGTCAGCTTCCTCATCAGGCACCTCCACGTCAGAATGGGTCTTGGTGCTTAAATCCTATTGTTGTGCATCAGAAGCACCCCAAGTTTCCACTTCGGAGCTGAGTAAAGGAGGTGGCCCAGATCAGTGAGCAGCTGCTGAGGAGCCAGAGGATTTCTCTGAAACCTGAATGTGCTTGCGTTGCGACCTGACAATCCTCTTTAGCAAGGGACGGGGGAGGAGCTGCTAAGTTGTAGAGGGCATTCTCGAGGCATTTCTTGTCAAGGACGACCTGTTGCCATCGCTGCTGCTCCTGTGGGGCTGTCAGTCTGGCTTGGATAAGAGCGTGCAGGTGCTGTTCACACCAGCTCATGGCACTGCTTTCTAGCGGCACCTACTGAAGGCACACTGTGTGCATCACACTCAACCTTTTGTGAAATAGCGGCAGCTAACACCCTGCAGAGAGGGCCAGAGGGTAACTGAGCACACCAGGCTGTGGCCAGCACCCCAGCTGGGGTAGACGGAGGCCGAGTCAGTTCACGGAGAGGCTGGTGTCAATGCTGGCAGCCGTGGGGAAGTCTTCCTTCCCAGGTGTGGGGTGTCCCACAGTCAGGCTGAGTCCTGGCCCATGGAGAAATAAGACTCCCCATGTGTGTTTGGGGAGCACGTGTGGCTAAGCAGGACTGGGGCTGTCTGATTTTTCCTTTTTTTTAAAATAGCATTTTTCAAACTATAGTAATTTTTTTCCCTAAAGGAGATAAACTCCAAGCTGCAATTTCTGGGGATGCACTGACATTTTGGATTTCTGCAGGCGGTGGAGGAGAGGAAGGCTGGTGCTTGTCAAGGACCCAAGTCCTGGCAGGGACAGAAGGATCCAAAGACCCAAGTCCTGGCAGGGACAGAAGGACCCAAAGACCCAAGTCCTGGAAGGGACAGAAGGACCAGAGGAACCTGTGGAACCAAGCTTAGCCAAGGTTTTGCCATTTTGTATATCCTCTATCTTGATATGTTAGTCCTTGTACAGCCGCATTCTGGAGATAGTTTCAATAGTCACAACCCTCACTCCATTTGGTGACAAAAAAGCAGACCACTCCAGCTGCCAATGAGGGCAGTCCTATCCATAAATGGGACAGCATCACTAACCGTCCAATCAGTTTTGAAACCATAACCGTGCACGCCAAAATGCCTTTGTAGTAACCAATGAGTAATTGCCAGCTTCTTTCAAAATTCGTGCCGCTCGTGACCCTATAATAGACCCCTGCTTCCTCTGTTCGGGGCTCTCACTATCTGCCACTGTGTTGGTAGGTGCCGTGAGCCCGGACTCAAGCCCATAATAAACTCCCTTTTGCATTTGCATCAGCTGTCTTTGGATTCTTGGAGGCTATGCTCACCGAGTCTGCTAATCTTGGGCACAACAGAACCGAGTCCTGGTAGGGACAGAAGGACCTGAGGAACCAAGTCCTGGCAGGGACAGAAGGCAGGAGATCACTCCAGGTGGTTGGAACACAGTATAGACGGTGAGGGCTGACTCAAGTCATGGTGCCTGGAGCTTTGTGGGTGATGCATAAATCAGAGCTGTTTTCCCTTCATTCCTTTTATTCTTAAGTCTCACCTGAAACTCTCCTGCAAGTCAGACTCCTGTCAGTCTGGTGTTTTTTACTATATGGATTGTAGTGAAGGCTTTGACTCTATTTTGTCCAACTGCTATTTTAAGTTATTACATGATTAAGTACATTGGATAAAAATTTTTAACAAATGTGAAAATTCCTACCAGGATTTTCTGCTAGAAATTACTGCTTCATTTTTTTAGGTGTCTTCAGAAAATCTTACATGTACATCAATATGTTTGTGCTTTATTATTCTTTTCAAAAACAGTCATATTATGACTGCTGCTCTGTACCTTGCTCTTCATTTACTAAAGTAACAAGGAGCTCTTTACTGTCACCATACAGAAAAGAATCTGTCTCCTTTTTGACAGCTGCATAGCTTTCTGTAATTTATTTAGCCAGTCTTCTGTTTTCGGTCCAATTCTATCAAAGCAGAATGTTTAGTGTAAAAACATTGCATCAATGACTATCTATATGCATAAATCCATGCAAATATATCTGACCATAAATTTCAGTACTAATTTTGCTCAATTGTCCCACAAAGAGATTGCAGCTAATAGTACACAGCTATTTTCCATCCACTCATCAACACTGGGTATTACAAATTTAAAAAATATTTGCTGATATTCTAAGTGAAAACTGATATCTCATCCTTTCAAGCTACATTTTTTAACTGTATCAGCGAGGCTGAGTCTAGTTTCATGCACACTAACTATAACCATGTAGTCGTCTCGAAAGTCACCGTGACAATCTTTTTCTATTTTCTGTTGGATTTTATGTTTAGTTTTTATTGATTTTTAATCATAGATTGTGGGAGGCAGCCTTTAGCATGGACCTGATGCTCTTCCCCTCCTGATAGTCACAATCTGTGCAATACCCTGCTCCTGAGTATAGACTGGGCTTATTGACTCATTGGCAATAAATACAGCTCAGCAAAAGTGATGGGATCTCACTTTTGATATCAGGTTATGATAAGATCGTGGTTTCTCCCTAGGTACATTTTCTCACTGATCTCTCTCTCTCTTTTTCTATTGGAACTTGGTTGCCATGTAACACTGTCCAGGTTATCCTGAAAGAGAGCTCAGGTTCAGAAGAAGGCACTAGAGGATAAAAGATAACATGGGGAAAAACTTGGCACCGAAGCTATCAACCAGCACCAACTGCCTACCAGAGAGTGTCCATCCTAGTCAAGCCTCTGGACAGAAGCTCTGCAGTTTGAGTGCAACCTCTAGAGAGAACTTAAACCATGCTCCTCTGGCTAAGCTACTCCCAAATTCTTGACCAGTGGAAACTATGAGATAATGAATGCTGGTTTCAGGCACTAAATTTTGGAATAATACAAATATGTTGCCAACATTTTCCAGAAAACTATAGTTTTTAATTTATTTCATTTTTATTCACAGTGATTTCTGTTATGCAGGAATTTGAAATTTTTAAGTGAAATTGATCAACCTGTATTTTTATAACTTCTGAATTCCCAGTAAAATTAAAGTGATAATTTTCTAAGTTCATAAATGCTTATTCATTAACTTTCTAATTCAAAAACTAATCTATATTATATGAAACTATTGATAAAAATAGCTTTTAATATATTATCAAAATACTGTAAAGATTTAATGCCCTTCCTTTATTTTAATATACTTCATTAGATGGCAGGTAAAATTTATACATAGCTTTGCATCCTTCTTTTAGTAATTGATTGTTATACTTGCTACAGTTTATTATGCATTGAATATAGTTCAGATGCTGCTAAATCTTTAAATGTTCATTTCCTAGTTCTTGCAAAAACTATGAAATAGGCACTCTTATTCTCTTATTAACTTAAAACATTTAAATTTTTTTTAAACAACTTTGTTTATTTTTTCACATTATAGATTTCTCCCCTAAGATGTGGTAACCATAGTTTTCCCACCCCCAAAGCACCCATGGCCTCCCATCATATTCCATCATGCTCTCCTCCCCACCCCTGATTTCTACCTTCCCTCTCTTTTTCTCCCCTCCCGAATGTCTCGATCTATTGTCTGCTTTCAAGTGTGGGTCTTACAGTTTGTCTTTGTTTAATCCTTTGTTTGGTTCCTCTAGATTCCACATACAAGTGAAACCATTGGTATTTGTCTTCTTCCATCTGGCTAATTTCACTTAGAATAATCCCTTCCAGTTCCACCTATGTTGCCATAAATGGCAGGAGTTTATCATTTTTGATCACTGAGTAGTATTCCACTGTGTATATATACCAGGACTTTTTGATTCACTCATCTGTTCCGGCATATTTAGCTTATTTTCACAACTTCATTATGGTAAATGCTGCTGCTGTAAACACAGGGGTGCAGGTTTCCTTCCAAATTAGTGCTTTTGTGGTCTTTGGATAGATGCCTTGGAGCAATTAGTATTCTTATTTTAGAGATCTGGGAACTGATGTCCATAGATGACTGTGCCAGATTTTGTTTCCATAGGGGAGTCAGAATTTAAATGTAGATCTGTCTGATTCCTGGGATGTCATGTGCTGAATTATGTCCGTAGGCCACTTATTCTGAGCTAATATGTTGAGTTCCTAACTCCCAGTACCTCAGAATGTGACTGTATTTGGAGAGAGGGTCTTTATAGTAGTAATTAAGGTTAAATGGAGTCGTTGGAGTGTGTCCTAATCCAATATGATTGCTGTCCTTCCAAGAACAGATTAGGATATAGAAAAACTCAGAAACAAGACACAGACAGGAGACGGCCATCTGCAAACCAAGGAGAGAGACCTCAAGACAAACTAGCCCTGCCAACACTCTGACTTCTAAAACTGTAAAGAAATTGCCTCCAGAATTGTGAGAAAATAATTTTCTGTTGTTTAAGTCATCCAGTTGGTGGGGTTTGTTTGGCAGCCTGGCAAATTAATGTAAGGGATAATGTGTGTAATTGTTAGAGCTTATGACTTCTTAACATTGGTGTTATTTTAGGGACCTTTATTTGGTGTCATTAAACATTTCTTGAAACTAGATAATATTACTTCAAATAGCAACACCAGAGGCAATCTGATGCTTTATCTCTGGTTAGACATTAGAATGACTTTAATTGCATTGAATTTTTAATAACTGTGTAATGAATGTCTGTGTTTTAGACATTTTATTTCTCTTCTAGGTTTGTAGAAGGAGATTTACTTGTCCAAGAGTATAAACATCTTTAAGACTCCTTAATTTAAATTAAATAAACACATGCAGTAAATTTCTCCTAAATAAACAATATCAAAGAGATTTTATTCACATCAAGATATAGCACAGTCAATGCAAGCTATGAATACTTATCAGGCAAAGGAAAATTAGGTTCTTTTGTTTATATTTACAGTTGCAATCTCTTTGATAAAATATTGGAAACACAAGAAATACAAGGGAAGTCAAACAGATCTGCATTTGGTCCCTGGCTCTGCCTCTTAACTTATCCAAGTTATTTGATCACCTGAAACCTTAGGTTATCCATAATGTTGGTGTGGAGATTAAACAAGTACACAAATGTAAAATACTTAATACAATTCACATATACACATTAAAAAAAATGCATCTTGCTGGGGTAAAGACTTATCTACCTAAAGTTACTAATGGTGAGGTTTTGGATCCAGTTTGAAATAACACTGAATAGACAGGACATATTTTGAAACAGGTACTATGCTAGGCACTTTTATATTTCATGCTTTATGTAATCATAATTATAACTTTTCCAAATAGGTATTATTTTCTTTACTTAACAGATGAGGAAATCCATTTTCAAAGAGGTTAAAAAACCCACTGTGGGGTCACAGGGACAAAAGCCGGAGCCAGGATTTGAACCCAGTCCTATCAAATTCCATGTCCTGTGTTCTTTCTCTCTTTCTACATAATTTCATCCAATTAAGACAAAATCCATGAATGCAACACACTTACATATTATTTGTAAAGGTGTATTCTAAATTCATTATTTATACTTCAGCTCTTTCATTTTCAATTTTGCCCAGATTTTCCCTTTTATACAGAATATCATTTTGTTCATTAGCTTGAAGTTACGTAAATCAGGCAGAAATTAGAATGATTTAACTTTTGTGCTCATAAAGCTCTAGAATAGCTAGTTATAAATGTCTTCCCATCCTGTCCCCCTGAACCCTCTTTGGAAAATGAAAGGATTGCAACCTGATCCAGCATCTTGCTCTTTGATTCTCACTGCATTCTTTTTGGATTAAGGGTGTCCCATTTCCTTGGGAGGAATGAAATATGGCATCTAAGTGAGGAGAGCCCAGCCCTTCAGTAAACTCCTTAATGGGAGTTTTTATGGGATGTATTTTCACCTCACTGAGCTTTTTATTTCTCTGGGATTCTTTCATCCACCCAAGCAGGTGAAGAAAATGGGAAAATGATGGCAGAAAAAAAGAAGGGCTTTAGGAACTTGAAAAGAAAGTGAAAACCAAAAGAAGCTGTCCCCACACTTGTTCCTTTAGGAGGCCTAACAAGACATGAGACTGGTAACAAAAGGGCAAAATTTTCTCTCCTTCATTAGCTGTGTGGCAGGACACGCAGGTCATTTATTAAGAGAATTGGCCAATTATTTAATCATTCATATCATCATTTGTTTTTGTGTCATTATTCATTTATTCATTCAAATTTGAATAACTGTATCAGAAGTCCTGTTTTTAACATGAGCTAAACCTGCATTTGACCAGTTAGTCAACATGATGTTTAAAGAAGGGAATAATTTAATAAATATGCATACATTTATTTTTTCTTGTCTCAAGACTTATGTCTGTATATTCTGATGCAGGCATTTATATATTGGTTTCCACCTTTCTTGCGACTCTGTCCCTCTCTCCAGGAAAATCACACCCTCATCATACAAAGTTTCTAGTTTCTGATCATGAGCTGAAAAATACTTTCGAAGCATTTTAATTTTGCATTTCTAACTTTTTTTTTTTTTGCATTTCTAACTTTTAACATTATCTCCTTCAATAGTTTCTGGACTGTGTGTTTTTTTTTTTCTCATAATTAATTCAACAAATAATTTTTAAAACCAACTTGTCTTTATCAAACTTTTTAAAAGAATTCAACTTAAGTTTCATAGAAACAATCCTTTTCTTTGTTTATACTAAGATTGCTAGGTTTGCTGATTATTTCATTAAATGACATGCATATAACATTAGCTTATTTTGAGGACTTTTTCAGTGCCAGACACTGTGTTCAGTGATTAACCTCACATCACTTGTTAATCATTTCAACTAGTCTGTAAGATGAGGACTGTTATTATTCTCATTTCCCAAGGGAAAGTGGGTATGGAGGCCATATGAAATTTTCTTATCAGAACTTTCTCTCCATTATTTAATATATAAAAATGACCCAAAAAGTACCTTTATATGCATTCGTATCAGGATGATACAAAAATGCATCATACAAGTTTCCAGTTTCTGATCATGAGCTTAGAAATACTTTCGAAGCAATTTGATGATTTCATTTTTGACTTATTTAATTGATATAAAATGTCTCCATTTTGCAGACTGAGTCTCATTCTCAACACCTAAAGCTGTTCTCTAAATCCTGGCAGCTCAGCAATGCCATTGATGTGAAGGGACGTATAATGGGCAGGATGAGTTTTTTAACTTATTCCAGTGAAAATTCTATGCAGTGCTGGAGCTCTGCCTGAGGCCTGTAAGGTGCCTAAAGCTTAAGCTTTAGTTGACCATAAATGCGTTGGGTGCCGTGCAGCACAGTGGAAGGGATCTCATACTGCCTGAAGTACCAGAAAGCCCCAGCAGAGGAGGTCTACCAGCCAACTCTGGAAGGACATCTGGAACTCAAATGACACAGAAGGAAAGGAAGGGTCTTCGGGCAGAAGTCATGATTTGCTTCAGCACAGAAATGTGAGAGGAGGCAGGAAATGCCAGTGTTTTGTTTGGGTGGAGGAGAAGGAGAGTGAGATGAGGTGGGTATGAGAGACATCTCACCTGAGGGGAGGGGATCCCCACCAAGGAGTTATAATCAGAGGTGACGGAAGTTTGGGACTCTGTTTTATGGTCATTTGCATCTTCCATAAAGAGAATTGCATGGAGAAGCAGGAGTGATGCCTTAATCCCCCATCATGCTCGACCAGGACTATCCAACGGAACATTCTATGATGGTGAAAGTGTTTTGTGCCATTCAGTGTGGCAGTGCCAGCCACGTGGGCTGTCAAGTATTTGAAATATGACAAGTGTGACTGAATAACTGAAATTTTAATACTTAAAACAGTCACATGTAGGGGCCTCCCCAGTGGCACAGCAGGTTGAGCACAGCGCTGTGAAGCTGTCCGCAGCCTCTGCAGTGCGGGTTCAATTCCCGGCTGGCCAGGGAGCAATCCACATGGCATGCGGACCTCTCCTGTCACACCCGCTGCTCCCCTTAGCAGTGCTTTTGGTCTTTCTGCCTGTCCTGCTCCCCACTCTGTTTCTGGTGAATCCTCTTACCCTCCTGCACCTCTGGCCTGTACCCCAGCTCTTGTATAAATAAAAAATAAATCTTTTTAAAAAAACACCAAAAAACAGTCACGTATAGCTGGTGACTACTTTCTGGAACAGCACAGCTGTAGACCCTCAGGGAAATTCTATGGAACAGACAGGCTTATCAGTCTGTTTAATGAGGAATTTCAGTTTTTAAGGATTCGTTCTAGATACCAAAGAAGTATTTAAGCAGTACAAAACATAAATGGGCCCCAACTTAATGGAACTTAAAATCAGGACAAGGCATTGTGTTAAAAGGGATGAATGGCTATTATAGAAATATTAAGAATGTGCAGAAAAAAATTATGCAGATGACCACTCATTGGAACACTGATTATAAATAACCTAAAATGCAAATATATATGACTGATCGAGAAAATGCACCCTCACAATGAAGTAACCTCTATCTATGCAACGGAAAGATATAAGCAATGCAAAATGCATTTATTTTAGTAGAAAGATGTTTATAACATAGTTCTTTGTGGGAAAAAGTATATGGTATAACAGTTACAAAAAATTATGAAAATATACTTAGAGAAACATCTGGAAATACACAAATAAAATATATATACTTAGACTGATTATCAGAATTGAAGGAAATTGTTTCATTTTTGTCTGTCATTTTTGGGCTTTTTAATATTATCACATATTTTTCATCAATGAGTGCATATTGCTTTTATAATCAGAAATATAAAAAAAACAAAAAAACATTTTGAAATTCTTCGAGGAGTGAAATAGAGAGCAAATCTATTGTACTTCTGAAAGAAGACACTCATAGGTGAGGGAAGTAGGGAAATCTCACCAAAGATAAACCTTGAGGGGAAGGAAGGGACAGAAGAAGGCAACAGAACATTTCTTGAATATCTGTGTCGAGTATTCATCTTGTGTTAGCTCTTTTAATCCTCTCCATGATCAGATAAAGCAGAAATCATCATTGTCCCATTTTACAGATGAGGAAATTGAGATTGACAAGGTAAAATGTAAAACCACAAATCTTGAAGACAGAAGACTGGGGATTTGAACTTCAGCTTCAAGTTGTTGATAGCGTTTGCTGTTGGGTAAGTCCCACAACACAACAAACACTAATTTGTGTAATCACCGTTTTGTGTCACGTCTGGACACTGACAAGACTAGACGCTCTATGTGGGCAGATGGGGTGTGCTCAGTTCACCATGGTATCTACAGCCTCTTCACAAAGAACCTGGCCCACAATAGGCTCACGTCAGCATTGCTGATTCCTGACACAGCAGGAATCACTAAGTCCTGTTCACTTCTCCTCACAGAGTATTGGGAGAGACTCAAATGAAATAACAGGCTTGACAAGATCTGTGAGCTACAGTCTCTAGTACCCCATGTCATGGGCTTTGATTTCTTAAAAATTTCCTTAATTCGCTTTTTCACTAAAGGAGATTTTATGTGGACATTCTTAGCATGAGGCAGGAAAACATGAAGAGTTTGTTGCTCAGCTGAGTTCTTAAGAAACCTTTTTGATTCTTAACGGAACATCAGGGTTTATTAATGTATAGTTTTCAAAATGTCTCCGAAACATCTATTATTTTAATTTGAGACCTATGAGGTAAAATCTGTGTGTTATCAGATGTGTAATCACTAATCATCAGTCCATAACACAGATATGAGGAAATGTCAATTTTTCTATTTCTGGGTCAAGCTTAAGGCGATTGATTGCCTTCTTTCAGAACTGGGTGATAAATCAATTGAACACAGTCTGGGTCCCCACAGGATGCTATTTCTCAAATTGCTGATCACATTCTGAAAGACTTAATGTTTTTCTGTGCTGTAATGGCAAGAATACCATCTTGGGTTTGGGTAGATTTGGTTTGAACCTGACTTTGTCACCTTTCGCCTGTATGACCTTGGACAAGCTATTTGCCTTCCAGCAGCCTCAGTTTCTTCACTTTGTAAAACAGGGCCAATCTGGCTGAGTTTTTAGGATGGTTAAGAGGGATTAAATGAAATCATCTATACATCTGCCTGGCAGAGTGTTTGGCTCAAAAAACCTTTAGTATATGTAAATTACCTCTGTCTACTTTCCAAATTTGTGGTTGGCAGTAAAGACTTTTCCAAACAGAAGTTTATTCTTCTGAATATTAGAGAATGAAATTATTTTATGTAAATGAAGTCAATTTATGAGTCAAAAATTGACTTCTGTACCTGGGACTGCAGTCCCAGATTAGATTTTGCAATTTAGCACAACAGAAAGAACCCAGTCAAGTCTTAGAGGATCTGAGACTGATGGAGTGGTGAGGACACGGCTTCAGAAAACTGAGGCACTGTGAGAAGTGACCAGGCTGGGTTTTCACAGCTCCTGGAACACATGCGGTGCTTCCAGTACATTTATGGAGGCAGGTTTAAAACTGTGGGGTACACTCTCTAGTCCCAGGAAAACAGCTTTGAGAGGAATTCCACTTCTTAGTTACTTGTCTGAGCTTCAGGCACAATAAACCCCTCTGAATCTTTGGTGCTTGGCTTAGGTGATCAGGAAGCTTATGTAGTACCTCCTCCTATGTGGACAGAGTATGAAAATGCAAACTTTGGAGAGTAAGGAAGGGGAAAGTTCCCAAAACCAAAGAGGTGAGGTAGACATACCAGTTCATGTTCTCAGAAATCTGGGTTCTATCCATTTCCAAGAAACCATTCTGGAACCAAAAGGAAAGCAACTTTTGTTTAAACTAATTATTTTTTTTAGCAGTTGTCATAAAAGTTTAATAGTTCTAAGATCAGTATTTTTTTATTTTATATATTTTTTACATCATTTTTCATTTTTGCACAATGTGTGCATTTTCATCTTGGTTATAGTCCCCACACAATTCCCCTCTCCCTTGTTTTGATCCTACTCCCTTCTCCCCTCTGCCCCCATAGTGTGTCTCTGGTTTATAGTTGCTTGTTGATTTTGATTTTTACTTTATTATAATTACCTTTTTTTCCTTGTCCCTTATTTAGGTTTAGGGGCCAGCAAAGACTCAAGCTCTGTTAAGCGTGGACCTTACAGAGCCAACAAAACCCTCCCCTTCTCCAGCATCACAGGCTGCCCCTTCTCTTTCCTGGGATCCCTCGGGTCTCTCTCCCTGTGTGCTGTGGGAGGTGGCTCATTTGAATATAAGTAATTTGCAAAGAGTGATCTCATGCATTCACTGTTATAAGAATTGATTTAAAAAATAACATATTTTTAAGATTGATGACAGACAAGATAACATATCAGAGAAAAATCAAAATTTATTTTACAGGAGCAAAAAAGAGGACACAAAATATGTTATCATATAATTTTTGTCATAGTTTAATGCCTACGAAAGTCTAATATATTAAAAACTAAAAGAATCTCTTTGTGTGCCTGTTTAGAAGATGGAGGTTTTGGAGTTTGGAGTCAGAAACTGGGATTCGACTTGACTTAGCATTTGCCAGCTGGGAGAGCTTGGGCAAATGGCATCATTTCCCTGGGCTTGAGTTTGCTTATCTGTAAAATGAAAATAGTGATACCTTTGAGACATGGGGTCTTTGAGGAATAAATAAGGTAACAAAAAAGGTCTTAGTTGTACGAGGCACTGAAGATGCAAATTCACAGCATTTCTGTGTTTTGGGGTGTTTTTTTGCAGCAAATGAGTCAAGTCCTATTAAGCATAGCATATCATGAAAACACCGACTGCATATTTTGCAAATCTTTTGGTACTCCAAACTGAAGTTGTTTTATAAAACTTTGTTGAAAATTTGTTGGAATTTTATTATAACACACAGGCTCACAATCATAGAATTTATGGTTACCTGAATGCAATAATTTGTGATTAAATGCTACATAGGGATAAAAGATATCTGCTTCATTCTTTTTAACAGCTGCATAGCTTTCTGTAATTTCTTTAGCTAGTCTTCTGTTTCCTGCAAATTCTACAAAGGCTGTGTGGGGGATGCATCCGCAGAGGACAGGATGGGGCAGGGCTGGTGTAAATCCCACTCTAGAGCTTTGGTGGGGTGTCGGCCAGGGGGCCGGCCAGACTAGACCAAGGGGTCAGTAGATAAAGGAGAACAAACTTATCAAGAGGTGATGTCATTGACTCTTGATGATGGAGAGAAAGTAGGTGATGTTTGGGGCGGTGATGATCAATTTGAGATTAGAAACACAGAAGGATGAACAAGTTTATTGATCTTGGAAACCTGTGATATAATTAAGGAAAAGTGGACAACAGGACATAGGTGAGATGTTGATGCTGGAAATGCAGATTCAGGAGATATCAATCAGCATAGAGGTGTTAAAATGACGAGGACAGATTATTTTACTCAATCAGGGTGTTTATGGCGAGAAGAAAATATACCAAGGACTTAATTCTAGCATTTAAAAGTGGAAAGAGGGCAAGAAGCTCATGGGTAATAATGAAGGGGAGTAACTAGCAGAATATGAGGAGGACCAAGCAATGGAAAGAGCTTCAGGAAGAGCTGTGAGTGGTCTCCTGTCTGTTGTAGTAGAATCCAGTCAGAAGAGGACTGAGAGGTGTTCATCATTTTGTCAAACTTGTGGTCACTGGAGATCTTTGGAGTAGTTCCAGTGCAGTGGTTGGTAGGAAAGGAGGGTTGTAGTAGCCTGGCTAATAAATGGAGGGTGAGAAGTAAAGACAGTAAGAGAAGAATTTTCTAGAAAGAGAGAAGAAATAGTGATGGTGGGGCATGCACTTGGGAGGTGGACAGACATCACAGGGAAGAGAAGAGCTCAGATTCACTGCTGGTTCTAAGGCTTCAGATGTAATTAGTGTAATTGGGGGAAGCTCTGGGATGGGTATGGCCACTGGGATCATTGCAGGCAATCTATCGAGGTGACCTGGGCACCGCGGGGTGGTGTGATGATATTTAAATCCTATCTATCTGAAGGATTCTAATTGCAGAATGCCAAGCCCACTGCACCTGGCCTTACAGAGTTCCAGTTTGATTTCAAGCCCACTCTGCGCTGAGTAAAATCTCAGATCCTCATCTGTGTCTCCCATGGCCAAATACTTTGGGATGTCTTCATTCCACTGTACTGAATGTCCTTTCTTGCTAAGCAATCACTAGCCCTCATCATTCTAGACCGCTTTATGTCTGCATGCCTTTGTATGTGCTATTTGCCCATGCTGGGACTGGCATCGCCTGCTGTGTTCACCCAGTGAATTCACCTTTCAAATTCTTGCTCAGGTGCCCTCTCCTGTAGGAAGTGCTCCACCTTCAGAAAGGTGGGTGCTCCCCTGAGCTCCCAGAGAGGTTGTCACTCCCTCCTCTGCAGCCTGTGCTTTACAGTGCTCATCGGATGACATAATCACAGTCTTCTCCATCTACATTATTTCCTCTCTCACTGGAGCCTAAGTTTGTCGTGCCTTGGTCTTTGGGCGTCCCAGGCCCCAGAAGAGAATATCCACAAACAAGTTGACAAAAACTTGAAGGGATGCTTAAACAAAGAGAAATTCTGGTCAGAGAGTTAACGGGAGACACAGGTGAAGGCAGGGCAGGGCTCAAGACCACATGGCCCTTCTTGGTAACTACGTCCTTTCTCCAAGTCCAGTGGCTTAAAGACTCATTGTCCAAAGTACAAATTGCATGTGGATTCACCCCACCAAGGCCAGCCCTGTCGATGGCTTGATGGCTCGGGGCTTTCAGCCTTTGAATGGAACCGGCATCATGTCCTCACCCTCCACCCTGCCCAGCCCATCGTTGTCCATTTCCTTGTACCTCGGATGGGGCTGCATCTCAGTCCCCTCTTCTTCAAACACTTCACCCTCCTCATTCCTGCCACCAGTTTTCCTAGACTTGAAAGAGCTGAAGTCTGGAGAGAGGCCTAAACTCTCTGTGAACCTCATGTCAAATCACACACTTACAGAAAAACCCAGATGCAGTTTGAAATTACAGTTAAGATCCCATGGAAAATAAATGACACGAACAGCTGAGAAAACCCCGCCCCCACTGTCTTCAACTCCCCTCCCCCTGGTTTTTTTTTTTTTTTTTTTTTGGCCTCCCTCTCCCTCCCCCCTCCCACCTCTTCAGCACAAAATTTGTTCACTAGGGACCTGAAACTTCAGCCTTGCAC